ATGTATCATTCCTATAAGATTTGTTTGATTTCTAGGGTGGTTCTGGTTTTCCTTTATACTTCTGATCTGTTTGGATGAGGAACAGTGTGTTCTGGTTTAGGTGGATTTCACTAAACCTGTGAGAAAGCTAAATAATTGGGTGTGGTGTAGACAAGGGGACAGTATTACATTTCTGGAGGTACTTTTATTAACTTGTCTTGATGGGTGATACACATGCATTCACATGCTCTATGGCTTCTTAGTAGCAGAGGGTTTGTGTGACTCACTGGTGCGCTGCGCTGCAAAGGGATCCATGCAGGGGGCTGCAAGCTCTTTGCTTCACTGCAGTCAATCACTTGGTGGGCTTGGAATTGCCATATAGTATTCATTTGCTGTGCTTGTTTAAAAGCAAAACCTGTCCATGTAAAAATTCAGGGAATCAAACACAAGTTTTTACATGAATACTTACTTTATTAGTTCTTCTTAGAATACTGTACAAAGGAGTAATAAAAATATTCACACTTTATTTTAGAAAGTTCTCTACATGAGACTTCTGTATACACAGCAAAAAGAAGGGCTACTGGAAAAAAACCCAAAAACTTTGTACAATGTCAGAATGTTCCATTAAAAAAAAAAACCAACTAATTTAGCTCACTTAAACTGATCCAAGGAGGATACGTATACACAAACACTTGCATGCTTAAAAGATATTATAGGCAATGATAAAGCAATGTTAAGTCACAATGAGAAATAATGTGTTAATAATGGTAACCAGCTGCTGTTCCCTTTTCAAGGGCCAGTACCATGTTTCTATTGAAACAAACAAAAAATTAAACAATGATTAAAAAAAAAATACTTGGGAATTAAGTAGCACTAGATGTCAGGTTCTCTTTTTTTGTTTTTTTTTTTTTAAAGGCTTTTTCCTGCAAAGAGTTGGACTGCACAACATCCTGTTAGCCATGTTAAATGAATCATAAGACAGGATCCCTAATTCAGAAGCATCAGGCTGTTAGTACTTGATTGTTTTCTGACTTTCCTGGTGCAGTGACTGCCACGGTGTGTGAATACATGCGCGGTCTTGCCAGTGCCTTAGAAGAGGCTTTGCCAAGGACAAGACGGGGCAGAGGGATGGCTTTTGCCAGTGCCTGTGAACCATTCAAGTGGTGGTTTTCAAAAGCTCTTCTCCTTTGGCATTCATTGCAGAACAAAAAAGAAAAGCATTTTAAGTACCTAGTTATCCAGTAATTGTTTCTCAGTCACAGGACAGAGCCCACCTTTAATTTTCCAGCTGACTTTTGTCTTAGTCACTATACAGGAAGCCAATGCAACTTTGGGAGGAAAATCTGTCAAGTGTGATGTGATCAAAATCCCATTTAAAATCAATAACAATCAATTATCTCCTTCACACAGGTACTTGGAGAAAATTCTACAGTCTAAAAGAATTAATGGACAGTCTTTGCACTCACGTTCTGGTTCTCCACGCAAAAGGTAGGCTTCACCCTCGGATCACTGCTATGCTAGCTGCAAGTACACATCTGAAGATCCCTCATCCTGCCCATGCTGTCCCGATCTCTCTTTTCTCAGAAATTAGTTATCCCATGAGAGTTTTAGTGTTTTGACTATGCTCTTTTAACTTGTGTGTGTGCAAGATGAGCCTTTGAGTGCTGAACTCACTTCTACGTGAATTTAACAAACACAAATGAACTAGAAGTGGTTTCAGTACCGAGTTCCAGGAGACTCGGAACTGTGTCCATTATTTCCACACCACTGCAGCAGTGGTTTCCAAGCGGAAACTTAGTCAAGTGCTGCTAGTTCCTGTGACACCAACAGGAAGGAGCCGTGCAACTGGTGTGTGACCAGCAGTACCCAAAACTCCTTCACTTAAAACTGCCTCAGGTACACCTAGCAAGTAGCAATTGCTACTGTTGTTTAATTACAATTAACTTATGGCTTCTTTTCTATTTTTTATTAATTCTGATACCTACCCTTAAGATGGAATCTTAAGGAAGATACTATCAGATGTATAATTGTTCAAGTAATTATTAATCTTATGTAGATACCCAACACACCACATATTAACATGAAATCTTTCTTCAACTCTCTCACTTCTTTCCATATTTCTACAGTTTTCATTTATGTTTCCCTTGACTGGATTAACTGTATGAATCCAAGTTAACTTCAGATATTCTGTGGCAAAAATGCTATCCCTGTGTTGTAAAGAATGTCATTTGCCATATAACACATATCTGTGTAATGGCTATTTTAATAATTTCGGTGTGAACAAGGTAAATCAGAAAAGCTTACTATTATAAATAAGGAAAACCTGCCTTTTTGAGAAGTTTATAATCGTATTCTGTTTTACAGTTGATCTTTAATTTAACAAAACAGAATCAGATGTCCGTAGTGTCAGTTAACAGCACAAATAACATGTTCAGACCCTCAGCTGTTGCAATGCCAAGGCCTTCAAGGAAACTGTGTGAAATGCTGTACTTCACTGAGAAGAGCTGGCTCCTGCCTTCAATTTATACTTACACTAAAAATATCAAAACTGCTTTGACTTTGTGTAATGTGTATATACTTGGAAATAATCAGCCTATGTCTGTCTATATAGGAGTAATGTTTTTAAGCATATAGTGACTGTTCCTGTTGCAAAAAAGTTGATGTTTTTCCCCTGGTATTCTACCAAAATAAATGAATAGTTTTCCTTCCTCTGGAGATTTACCATTGGCATGTAAGTTGTGTCTGTGGGCAGACATTCAGATCTGTTAAGCAACATACAGTCTGCATTGTGGATACAGCCTTAGCCATCCTGTTAAGGACAGATGCTACAGCTCTGAGGGCAGTGGCCTTTCCATAAGCATTCTGGGCATTGACGCTGTTGATTCCTTAGTCATTTCAAAGGTACTTAGCTGATTTGATGAAATATCTCTATTTTGAAAACTTTTTTTTTTTCCCAAAAGTCATTGTCTAGTAGCTTAAAGAGTACATTTGCTTTAGGGTATATAGTACCTTAACTAAAGCAGCAGTCCTTATGTTGTGGTGGTTAAAAGGCTTAACCCCCTCATCAAATAAATTGCATATCTGTCAAACTCTCGCTGGCCAACAGCACTCGGGTATCAAGCCAGACTCCTCTTCCTACCTTCTTGAAAACTTCATTTCACTTAAAATATTTCCACTTTCCAAACATACTAGGTAATGATTCTCTAGGTATTCCAGCAGCCCTCTGAGGTACACTAAATGCTTTTCCCTTCTCTGCAGCAGTCCAATAGTAAGTCTGAGATAGAGAAGTAAAGCACCTTGCCTAAAAGTATGCATGGAGTAGTACTGATCTTATATGCAAACCTGAAGTTCCCCTATCCATGTCCTATGCTCAGACCATCAAACAGAACTCAACAATATCCACTATGACCTCTAAAGCGAGAATTGGCTAGTGCAGGAACAAAAATAGCATATTTAAAATGTTTATACCGTTGTCAAAAGTGAGACAATATAAGCACTAAGACAACAGAAATACAGGCTTTCATGAAGTTTACAGGGGAAGCATGAGGAAAACCACATTTCATCTGGCACACAACCCAAAGGAAAAAACGACTATTTTGAACAGTAGAAAGCTGTCTCGGCCAGGAAATCTAAACCTGCAAACCTACTTTATTTAGGTGGTAACTTTATGGGAAAAAGGCTCAACTTTGTTTCTGTACTAAATAATCTATTATCAGTGATGTATTGCATCCTTTTGTTGGTCAATTCAGTCTGCTGCTGATGCTGCTCGTTAGCATTGCTCTCCTGCAGCTCCGTCACCCTTGCAGTGATCACCTGAGGGCTCAGGGGATGCTGCTGCAGCACTTGTGCGTGGAGCTGAGTGACAGACTTCCAGGTAAGCCGGAAATCAAACACTCGCTTGCCTTGAGACAGATACTGAATTAAGTCCATGGTTAACTGGAGAACTGGCAAATCCCAGTAACACATACACGGACTTAAGAGACCAAGGAGCTGGACTGAGGAGAAAAATTCAAAATATAGTCACTAACTGATTATAGCAAGCAGCCATCCATTTCTCATTTGGCCCATGCCTATCAGTCTTCAGCTCCTCCCATGCTTGTGCAGTCTCCATGTACCAAGTAGCTCAGTGGCATTTGTTGTTGATTATTAAAATGACCTGCACCCCAGCCCTTAATCCAAATGCTGTGCTGCCTGAGTGCTCGGAGTGCCCTTTAAAATTAGTGGTTTGGGGCGGGGAGCAGAGTTACCCAGACAGATTCTGGTACAAGCTGAAAATAACAAGTATGATTTAGGATCTGTTGACCTTATCCCTGAACCACACGAATGGTACCGTAGAAAACTGAAAGCTTTGTCAAATTGCAGGTCATTCCTTCCTGTACTGTTTTTAGTAAAAGAACTGCCTTTCTCAATGGTGTAAAAGACTGCAAAATAAAAATCTGTCATTCTTTTCCCCCTCCCACTCCCCTGCCCAAAAATGGAACTCAGACCCCAAAACAATCAAGTATTGGGAAAGCTTGGCTGTATCCCTTTGAATTTCCCCCACATATCGCTTAAAGCACCTAGCTTCAGAAAGGGAAATATATTTTAAAGTGCATTTACCACAGCAATAGTACCAGCACTAAAAGCTTTTCCCCTCATCCCTAGTCTCATCATTCAACGTCTGGGATAGATGACAATCTCCCCAGAATTCACCCTCTTTGTACCTTGAAGTCTCAGTGTATCTGCATCTATTTATGACACTGGAATAAAAGAAATCCAGTGTCATGCATCCTGCTCTGCACTAAACTCTACTCTGGAGCTTGTTTAGGTTTATTGGGCATGAGGATCCAGCATGCGGTATATGTCTATTGGATACTGCATTTAAACAGCCGCTGTGAAATTATATCCCAGTGTGCGTGGGGGTGAGGAAATGGGGCTAGAGAGAAGGAACTTCCACCTCTCCCCTGCTCCTCTTCCATTTGCTCCAGCCACGCAGTTCAGTACTTGTTGATCCCAAAGATCCGCACTCCATGAAACTGAGGCAGTTTGGGGATCAGGACGCTCATAAGGGAGATGGTGTTGATTATGAAGTGTATCCGGTCATACTTTGTGTAAAAGCTGGTTAGAAAGTACCTGGAAAGGAGGGGAACAGAGAGAGGGGGAAACTGAATTACAGCGCTTCACGTTTTTGTTTCCCAGGACATGACATGCAGCAGAAGCGGTGATCAGTACAGGTGCATGAGGCAGCTCAGCTGCCCCGAAGTACTCACAGGACAATGGGCATGATGGTCAGGAACTTGCGCGACGCTGTGAACTGCACGCCGTAGTCCATCTGCTCCCAGTGCGTGAGCAGCCGAGCCTTCCCCTGGTCCGGAGTCTCAAAAGGAGTTCCTTTCACGGTATGTAGGAAGATATACATACTCTGTAGCAAATACAAAGCCAGTGTGAAGCACACGGAGTGTTCCCTACACCCCTCGCCACGCCACCAGAAATCTTCAGCTTCAGCAAGAACAGCACCGTTGTGGGAGCTTGCACCAGCACGCTGTCCCGCTAGAGGGATGCATCGTCGCTGCTGCAAAACGCGCTGGAACGCGCAGCAGCTAACGAAGCAGTGAGAGCTGGGGAGGAAGGCCGCTAGCTGGTGCTAGCTCAGGCTTGGCTGTTACACGTGAGGCCTCTCGTTCAGCTCCTGGGCATAAGCCAAGAAGGTGGTTGCATGATTATAGCCCTCAGATCTCTGGGATCAGGAGATTAGCGTGGACTCACTCTACCGTACAACAGCAATGCTAAATGCTTTCTGAAAAAGCGCTGGTAGAGCTGTGGGCAGTGAGGGTCTGTTACTGCTTTGATTATGAGTTAAGCTCTTGAAGTGGAACACAAGTCACAGATAAACAGCAAGTGTCTGGCTACATCATGTGTCTTTTAAGTATAGCCATTGCTGGCCTTTAAACTCCTTTCTGTTCCCAGGAGCTAATTGTTTAAGCTGCCAGAGAAGGGGAAGGAGCTGGATGAAAAGCAGGCAGCTTGTGAACTGAGCCCTGAGCAGCTCTGGTTGGTGGTTTTGTGGGTTTGTTTTTGTTTGTTTGTTTGTTTTTTCCCCCACTGGAGATGTGAATAATGTTAGTATGAGGGTCCCCAAATCAGGGTATCATTTTTGTCTCTGTAATATTCTCAGGCTGAGATGTTATTTAAAATAAAGGATACAAAAATGATTGCTGCATCTCTGAAGTATTTTGTCCTATGCCTGAGGGTGAGGGGCTGCGGAGAGGGCTGCTCCTCGGCTCTAGGACCCAAGCATGCCAAGACTTGTGCAGTGGGATGGTGCAGAAGTGAGCAGTTAAACACAGCAGCTTCTGGCATCACAGTGAGCCCAGGTCAGGTGCCCTGCATCCCCAGAACGTGCATCTGTTGTCGTGTGCTGTGCTTAGCTGTGCACCCTTAGCACAGCACTCTGACACCCGTTCATTTGGGTACCTGATCCTTAGAAGGGGAGAATCTGTTCCTGGACTAATCTTTTACTTTAAGCAGAACAAAGTTTGCAGTTTAATCTTGGTGTGGTTTTTGTTTTTTTTTTTTTTTTTTTTTTAACTGAGGCCAATTCAGATTGTATCAACCTAAGTGAAAGCTGTCCTGCCAGCTTCTGTGGCCTGTCACAGCTGTTCCTCTGTTAAGGGGGACATGACAAAGGTACCTACCCTGCAGGCAAATGAATTCATTGTCCCCTCTGAGCAGCCTCACCACGTTTGCTGTCTCATCAGTACCTAGGTTGGATTTAAATATGTGACCTAGAGGCAAAGGTGCAGTCTGAGGGGTGGAGGTTGAGTAACTTGCCCTGCGTCTTTGGAAATACAGAAAGGAATTGCTTCAACAAGAATCCTACTAGATGGCTCTAAGAAGAACAGCTGGTGCTGAGAGGTTACCTCTCCATGCCCTGGGAAGTCAAGCCAGCCATGCTGTTCCCTTACCATGTTGTGAATGATGTTGGTAAGAGTCCAAACCACAGGGACGCTAAAGAAGGGGATGCTCAGGAGTACGACGTGCAGCAGGCCAATTCCAAGGACGTAGGACAACCAGATGCCCCGGCTGTTCATGACACGGGTGTTGGGATTCACCTCGCTGTGTGCTGTTCCCACATTCATGTTGGCTCCTGCGTCAAGTGGGCACCCCTGAAACTAAAGCAGAGTCAGGTCAGTAGTTGGATTGCGGTAGCCCTCCATCTAAATTACTTAGGTAAGCACAGGGGGGGTAGAGCACCGTCTTGCTGTTAAGTAAACCCGAAATCTGTTGTTTGCTATAAAAATCTCAAGTCAGTTCACTTCTCTGCACCTTATTATCTCCATTTGTAGAGCTGACGTTTCTGAGGGGAAGCTCAATCTGGGAGCTATTGAGATTTGGGAATAATGTGTGGGAAGTCCGTCTGTGACAGCAGCTACTTGTGATCTGCTGAAATGTTTTCCTGGAACCTAGATGTCAAGGTTCAATACCGCGATTGCCTGATAAGACTCAAACAAATACTTTTAAGTGCTTTTTAAGTCATCCTCACAGTGTTAATCATGGAAGCACTCTGCACATGCAGCTTCTTACATGTTTACAGGTTCAGCATACCTTAACTCAAAAAGAGAACAGAAGTATTTGCAGAGTAAAGGCACAGTGGCTCTGTATCAACAGATCTCCTAATTAGTTCTGCACGGCTCTAGAGGCTTGCTGGTCTCCTGGTCTGGCTTACATGTTTTGCCTTCCAATTTAAGACTTACAGTGGGGGGGAAGTAAGAAAAAAAATTCCCCTGCAGGGAAGGAGTGAGATTCTTCTTCAGGAACATAAAAAGTTAGAGATAACAGGAAAAGTGCATTGGGAGGATGTTTCAGTAGCAAGAGCTGCAGAGGAGATGGCTCTTCCCCTACCTGGAAAGAACAGCTGCCGTGTAGGAGGAATAGAGAGAGATGTTTTTCTAAACAATATCATGAAGACAAGGAAGCAAGATAGTGTCATCCTCTCAGAGAGCAAGTCTTTGGTGTGGTGCCCTATAGACAACACAGGTATCGAGTGGCTTTTTGGACTGCCGCGCTGATAGCGGCAGCAGGTATCAGTCAGCTTTAAGGCTTTCTGGGAAGATGAGAGCTCTGGTTTACCTGTTTCCAGGGATTACAGGAAAGAGCACAAATTAGAACTGCTGTAAAGCTGAATATCTTTACACCGAGATCGGGCCAGTTCTTGAGTAAAATCATCTTTGTCTATGTCCCATGGAAGTGTAGTTTCATCAGATAATATGGTCTGTCCCTCTTTGGATGGAGGACCCCAAGGCGAGGGCTGCTTCCTGATGTCTAGCCTTGTGTTTTTGCTGCTTTGGCTCTCACAGCTGGAAGACGGTGTTGCTGTTCTCTCTAGCTCTCAGAGTCTTTGGTCTCAGGAGGCAAATCCGAGCCAGATCTAACATTACGCTCTGTATGCTACTGCCAGCTGTTTCGAGTTCCCTTGCAGAGTGCTGGGCCTGGCTTGTTTCAGAAGCTGGCGCTCTCCCCTGTTCCTGCCCAGGGCTAGGAGACAAAGCAAATGCTTGACTCTGCAGCTCCTGGGACACTTGCTGTAACTTCCAAGTTTCTTTCAACTGCACAGGCAGCTGTTGTTCAGTGTTGCAGGCAGCTGCAGTGAGGCAGGGCTGCTGGCTGAGCTGAACAGATGCTCGCCTACCTCTGCTACCCAGGTGTCAGTCAGGGGGCTTATATCTGGAAAAGGTTTTTGTTAACAGAAAAGAGGCTGCAGGTCTGCAGAATGCTCGTTTTCTTGTCACCCATCTCCTGGGTCAAAGGATATTGGCTCCTGGGTATTCCAGAGGAAAGGCTGAAGCTTGGTCTGGAAGCAGGACTTGGAGCCAGAGTTCAGCACTTCAGTCCTAGCAGGGGGAGCAGCTCCATCCTTAATCTGGTGCAATTCCTCAGGGCTTTCAGAAGGAAATCTAGGGCTTGTGGTGAAGCATGAGTCAAAAAAGTCATATTGTTGCAACAACAACAAAAAAAGCAAACACCCCTGTGGAATGCATAAACAGGAGTGCTGTTTGCCAGACATAGGGAATAATTCTTGTAGATACTGGTAAGGCCTCAGCTAGAATACTGTCCAGTTCTGGGAAGAGCTGGAGGGACTCCAGGGGAGAGCAGTGAGAATAAGCAGAGGTGTAGGAAAACCAGGACCTGCAAGGACAGATTGAAGGAAACGGGTTTGTTTAGTCTAGAGAACGCTGGAGAGAGGCTGAGGAATAGTTCTCAAACATTTAACAGATAGCTGCACTGAGAAGGGAGACACATTGTGCAGTGGAGTTAACTGCACGACTGAGACTCGGAGCAACTGGACAGTGCAGAAGGACTGATGTTGGAATGGACTGCCCGTGGAACATGATTGGTGGTCTCGCTGGAGGCTTTAACATCAAGTTTCATAAACAGTGGAAAAAATTAAGATTCTTCTTTGGAATGGGGGGTTGACCAGGTGGCCTCTTCAGACCCCTCTTTTCTTGAAATGATGCCGTTACCCAAAGGCTGCAGAAGCTAGCAGACCTTCTGCGAGCCCTACAGCTAGAGGTGCACCCTGCCCGTGTTGTAATAAAAGTGGAATTTCCATTTGAGGACAACCACAAGTGTAATTTTCAAAAACTAATGAGCAACTACTACTTGGTCCCCTCTGCAAACAAGGGCAGTTGCAAGCCTGCAGCTGGGTGCAAAGGGTCAAACTTAGAAGCCGTATGTGAAGCAATTCTCTTCCCTGTGCCTCAGTTTCCTTGCTTGTAAAAATGAGGATTAGATGGGTGAAATGCTGGAACATACAAGAGATTAATTCATCCTTGCAGGAGAAATACAGAGGCATCAAGCATTTGGTCCTACGATGACGATAATTCTGCGTGCTTCTCCAGTTGTGTCCTTTCCCACCTTAAAAATATTTAATCTGCGAATCTTTTCCATTTCTGAACTGGTGTCTGCGGCCCTTGCCCAAGCTCTGTGCTCACTTCAGATTGCATGCAGAGCTCTGTACAGTGTTGCAAAAGCCTGGCTGAGGGAGCATGAGCTCTCAAAGCTCCGATCCCTACCCCCATCCCAGATCCCATATTGTTTGCTTTCTGATTTTACACCGGGGATTTGTTCACCTGCAGGAAAAACAAGGCACAACACAACAGCGGGAGGAACTCCAGCTCCCCCCTGGAGCAGTTGGCTGTGAAGCTCTGCTTTCCCACTTGTGCAGCGGTTTTTCAGGACAGAAAAGCTTTTAATGATTCACCAGACTGAGTGTGAAGGTCAGGACTGTGCTGACGTTGGACGGTGTCCGTCCAAGGAGGGGAAAAGTCATAACTGTGGTCAGAGGCAAACAGCGTGCTGTGATGGTGGAGCCGAGCCCTTCCTCTGCCCGATCCTTCACGTCCTGCTCCCGACTCGCTGCTGTGCCAGCTCCCTGTCCATGGCTGTTGGGACTTTTGTTCTGGGGCTCAGAGCAAGCATCGGGGCTGCCAGCTCAGCGTCTGGCATGACAGCATCTCCCCACTTCTGAGGAAAGGGGAAACAAAACAACGTCAGCAGTTTCCCACTCGCTTTGTCATCTATCAGCTGCTGGAGGACCCACAACCTCTGACCACGGCTGTGCCAAGGTGCAGCTCCTTCCCCACCTTTGCTTTTGTCCTCAGAGGAGCGTCACCACCATCTGTTCCCGTCCCCTCGTACTTCAGCAGTGCTCCGACCCCGTCGGCGTTCTCGATGGCAACATCGCCCTTCCCCAGGGTGCCGCAGGATCGCACCCCGTGCCCTCAGCACCCAGTTCTGCCTCAGCCTGTTGCAGGAACTTCATCTGGGCTGGTGAAGGGAAGGAGGGTTGCAGGTGCTTATCTTGGTCGATCTTACTGAGTGTTCCCAGAATGCAGGTGATTATGATCCCACGGAGCCGCCAAGGAGCAGAGATCCCTATCTCTGGCAGCAATAGCGATCACCATCTCCCAAGCAAATAAATATTTTAAACCCTTCTTTGCAAGATGGCATCAGCGTTTGAACCAGAGCGTCGAGTACATCAAAGATGTTAGCAAAGGCGGCTGGGTTTAGAGGCAGCCGATAGGCAAGGGAGAGGTTAGACCAAGATTGTGCTGCTTTGCCTCCTGCTCCAGCCTGGAGTCGCTGACGGACTTTAAGAGGTCTGAGCCCCAGAGCTGCCAGGTTCCTCCTCGGGAAGCCAGGAGGGCCCGGAGCTGGCAGAGGTGACAGGAGAGCAGCGAGGGGTGGCTGCCGAGCAGAAAGTGGGGGCTGCGGCTCCAGGGACTGGACCTGGTGCTGAGAATAAGGATGACGGGGAGCGGCTGGGACTCTACCTCCCTCCTGGCCTTTTTCTGCTAAATTTAGAGGGACCGTTCGGGCAGGCAGGGAGGGAACGCCGCACCCGAGGTTTCTCCGGGCACAGGTGGGTGATCAGCCTCGGGGTCCCGCACCCCAAGACCCGGCGAGGACCTGCACCCCGAGGTGCTGGGGCAGGACCCGCTCCCACCCCCGGGCTCCCCCCGGCCTGACCGTGCACAGCGTGACTGCGGGGACCCCCCCCCCCTTCCCTCCCCCCCCGGAGCTTTCTGGCTCCATCTCAGCAGCTGCTTTTTTGGGGGGCTGGGGTGTGTGTGTGGGGGTGTTTTTCTTTCGGGACAGGTCCCCGCGAAGCACCTTCCCCCGCTCTCCCACCCGCCTCCCCGCGGGCCCGGGGCTCGGCCGCCGCCTGCTCCCGGGGAAGGGGGCGAGGCCTCCCGCTTGGGCCCGCCGGCCTCCGGGCCGGCCCCGTACCCCCGGAGGAGGAGGGGGCCGGGGGAAAAGCCACCGCTCCCGGCCCCCACTCACCGCTGCTCCGTCCGGTTCTGCCCGGCCCGTCTCGGTTCGGCGGGGCCGGGGTTCTCTCCGTCGCGCACCCCGCCGCCCCGCTTGCGCTCCCGGCGGCCACCTCGGTACGGCCCGCCCCGCCACCGCGGAACGCCGGGAGCTGTAGTCCCGGCAGCGCCGAGCACCGGTGCCCGCCCCGGGAGAGGCCGGCCCTGGGCGAGGGTAGGGGGGGGCGGTGGCGGAGCCGGGGCCGAGGTTACCGTGCGGGGCACGGACAGCGAGGGGAGCCGCTTTAGGAACGGGGTGCGACCCTGGGGGGGGTCCTCTGCCCCTCTGCTGCTGGGCTAGTGGCCGGTGGCCTCTCTGGCCACGGCAACCCACTTCAGCTAGCCCCGGGCTGGGGGTCGGGGGGTGTAGGCACCCCACGCTGCACCCTGGGTGGGCTCAGAGCCAGCTGGGTGCTTCCACCCTGCTCGGGGGGGTGGGGGTCTGCCCCCTCCCCTGCCGCTCTTCCCAGCGGAAAACCTCTGTAGCGGGTGTTGTGCAAGCAACCTGGGCAGGCACGGCACAGCGGGCCAAGGTCAGGGGCTGGGAGCACAGGATTCCTGCGCTGGAGCGCGGGGAGGGGGGAAAACCATCTGGCTCTGCTTTTGTTTGCACGACGATCAAAGCTAATAGCGTGGTGCTGCCAGGGCCCCTCAGTGCGCGCAGCCATCTGTGCAGGGCTTTGTGCGCGCCGGCCGTCGCCAGCTCTTCTGCCCCGCAGCGGCAAAGGGTGCAGCGCCGTCACCCAACGCCAAAGACGCTTTGTGCTGCAAACCCCCTGCCTGGAGCTGTGTTGGGGTCCTGGGCCGAGCAGAGCCCCCCGACCCTGTGCGTGGAGCCCGGTGGCGTGGTGCTCCCCGTCTGCCCGTGTCGCACACGCGGCTCTGCCGGTGCCACTCGCGGCCCACCGGCCTCGCACGCCCGCTCCCAGCTCTCCCTGGCCACTCAGCAAAGCCCATCTGGGCGGTTTCAGTTTTGGCCCAGGTGGGTTTGCGGCGCTGCTTTGCACAGAAGAAATCAAGGATTCCCCCGGTGCTCCCTAGAGGTGGGCGCCCCTGCATCTCTGTCCCCGAAGAGCTCCCAGGCTAAGCTGTGGATCCTGACCCTGTCTGGCCTCGGCACCAGCCACGCATCCAGCTCCGGGCCTGAGCCGGCTCTCGGTGGGTGGTTGTGTGCTGGCTGGGCATGGTGAGGGCATGGAGACCTCGCCAGCTGCCAGGGCTGCCTGGGTGCCACACGATGGCACCGTGCTGCTGGGAGGGTACAGGATTGCTTCCCAGAGCCAGAGCTCCCCGGCGGCTGCTCCCAGAGAGCCTTGGGCACGGTGGGGGACGTGCACACGGTTAAAGCAGCTGTAGGGCCACCGATGGATGCCGCGGCTGCTGGCCAGGAGAAGCCAGTCCCTGCCCGGCTTCTCCGGGGTGACCTCACTGGCAGGGCAAGGTGTGGAGATGTCGGCGAGCGGAGGCGAGGGATCCCACCGGAGTGGGGGGTGGCGGGCGAGGTGCGGGGATGCCAGCGTGCGGAGGCGGGGGATCCCGTGGGAGTTGGCCCTGCTTTGCAGGAGAGCCACGCACGCATGGCAGGCTCTATTTTTATCCCCGCTCCTGCCTGACTGAGCAGCTCCCTCTGCACGGTGACATCTAATTTAGCAGCTTCCCCGCACCCTGCTGACTCCGCACGTGAGGGGGAAGCACAATGCGACAGCTATTTTTAAACGCCCATAAATATTAATCCCTCTCAGTGATGCAGCGGGCAGCCTCTCGCTGCCGGTGCGAGCGCGGGGGCGGGGGGACCCGCTCCCTGGGCTCCCCAGACCAGGTTCGCCCACGCAGGGAACCCCAGCACCCGGGTCAGGGGGTTCCCCAAGGGGGGATTTGGCCCCATCCACTGGCCTGCAGCTGCCCGGCCCAGCATTTCCCCCATGCTCAGTGGGGCTGTTCCCATATGGATTCCCAGGCCTCGCTCGCTCCCAGCCTCCCCCTGTGCCGGGGGGCCGTGCTCACCTCCTGCTCTCCTGGGCTGCTGGTCCCGCTGCCTGGTCGATACTGGCTATATTTAGCACCGTGGTGGCAGCAAGAAGCCGGTGTCGGCTATTTTTAGCCAGCCCTGCCGCGGCTGCGGCGGGGAAGGGTCCACGCGGGGTCGTGCTGCACTGCAGGCGCTGGGTTTTTGGGCTGGCGGGTGCCATGTCCCAGCATGTGGGACCCCTGTGGGGCACAGCCCTGGTGCTGCTCCCACTCCCGGGGTCTCTGCCCGCTGCTGTGGTGACCCACTACTTCTCTGGGTCCCAGCAGGAGCTGAGACTTGCCGAAAGCTCAAGCACCCCAAGCCCCTGCCCGCCTCAGCCCCTCGATTCCCACAGGCCCAGTCCTGCAGCGGGTGGCTGTGTCATCTGGAGCTGGCCCCATGCTGCTGCAGTCCCAGCATTGTGCCCACTCTGTGCACAGCTCCTGGCAGTGCTGGGACCAGTGATGGGCAGCATGGGGCTGCTCCACTCCCCAGCCCAGCTGGGAGATGGCAGCGAAGGTGCCCAAAAGCACTGACCGTGGCTCCCCGGCTGCTGCCCACCAGGCTCCTGGCTGCGTCCCAGGCCAGCCCTGCCGAAGTGACCCGGCATCGGGCTTGGCTCAGGTCCCAGCCCCGGTGATGGACAGACCGGCTGGACCATCCTGAGTGCTGGCCCCGTCGGCAGCCCCAGAGCCCCTCCGGATTGACGGCTGCCCCGGCGTGTGCCGACCCTTTGCCGCAGCAAACCCTCGCCGGGTGCAGCACCCTGAGGCGCAGAGCCTGGGGCAGGGGGTGCTCCCGCCGCACCACCATCTTGTCCCTGGACCTGTCTTCTCCTCCTGCCCCCAGCTGGAGGATCAGGGTCTCCCTGGGGAGCGCGGGGGTCCCAGGGGAGTGTCTGGCTCCGGCCCTGCCTGGCTGTGCCTCTCCCGTCAGGTTTTGTTCTCCTGATTGAGCTGAGATCCAGGCCAGGCGCCTGGTAAACGGTTTATCCTCCCTCAGCAGCAGGAGAATGTCAATGTGCAGGGTTGGGCTCTCCCTCCAAGGAGAACCGGGGACGGGCAGCGGGCGGCCAACACCATCCTTGCAGCGGCACGGCAAGGGCACGGCCCTCGGTCCCGTTGCCCGGTGTCCCGTCGGGGCGAGTCCCGGTGCTGGTGGGTTGCGGGGAATAGTCCCGGTGATGCCCCGAGCAGCCCAGGGAGGGGTTGTGTGGGGTCTGTCTGTGTGTGTGGGGTCCGGCCGGGACAGCGGGAACCCTCTCACCCCACTCGGGTGTCCCGGGCTCACTCGGGCCCGGCCCGGCCCGGTAACGGCGACCGCTCTCCATGGTCCTGAGCCGGCCCCGCCGGTGTCCCGGGGGCGACGGGGACCCGCGCAGCGCCGACCCCCTGCCCAGCCCAGCG